GCCCGGCAGCCGTCACGGCTCGCAGCCTGGGGAAGAAGCCGGAGAAATCCCGAGGGATGGTGTTGATGTTGAGGTTGCTGATGTCCAGCTCCTGGAGGTTGTGAAGGCTGTGGAAGTCCTCCGCCGGCAGCTGGGAGATGCGGGCGTTGCCAGCCAGGCTGAGCTTGGTGAGGCCCCCCAGCCGCCGCAGCACTGCCGGCACACGCTCCAGCAGGTTGTCAGAGACATCCAGCTCGTGGAGGTTGTTCTGGACCTGGAAGAGCTCCTCATTTAAGCTCGTCAGGCCCAGCCCTGCAATCTTCAGGGACTCGATGTTGACGGCATGGAAGGTCCCCGGTGCAATGGTGGGGATCTTGTTCCAGCTGATGTCCAGCAGCAGGAGGTTGGGCAGGTCGAGGGGGGGCAGGTCCCAGAGCTGGTTGTTCTGCAGCTTCAGCTCCAGCAGGTTCTCCAGTGTGTCAAAGGCAGCAGCATGGATGTGCTGGATCCTGTTCCTCTGCAGGTAGAGCCGCTCCAGCAGCCGCAGTCCGTGGAAGGTCTCGTTGGTGATCTCCTGCAGCTGGTTGGAGGACAGGTCCAAGTTGACGAGCTCCGTCAGGGGCTGGAAGATGTTTTTCTGGATGCTGGTGATCTTGTTTTGCGAGAGGTCCAAGAGCTGGAGGGCGGGCAGGCCGGCAAAGCTGTCCTCGTTGAGCATCGTGATGCCGTTCTCAAAGACGTAGAGGGAGAGGGTGTTGGGGGGCAGCCCCTGGGGCACAGTCTGGCCCCGTCTGGCCGCGCACAGGATGGTCTTGGGGTCTTGGCACTGGCAGCCTGCGGGACATGCCCCAGCCAGCTCCCCGGCAGCCAAAAGAAGCAGTGTGCAAAGGATCAGCTGGTTCATGGTGTCAGCTCTGCGGGAGAGAGAAATGCGGCCAAGGTTAGGGGCCGGGCCCTGCTGCGGGGGGACCTGGGGCTGGTGAGGAGCTTCAGACGCCCCCCTGCTACCCCTGCACCGCTACTGGGGTGGGAGAGCCATCTCCCTGTGCCCTGTCCTGGAACCTCCGGCCCCAAAGGGACCTCAGAGGGAGCGGGAAAGTCCCCAATGCACTTCTGCCTCCTCTGCGCTGCTCCGGCCCAGGACAGAGCTGATGAGAGCGTTGCGTGGGCTGCCCACCCCCCAGCTCCACGCTCTCCCCCTCCCCGGACCCTCAGGATTTAGGGGCATGCTACCTTTGCACACCCCAGGTTCTACCATGAGACATGTCCCACTGGCTTTGGCCTGGCCTCTCGGTACCACCTCCGGTGGGGCACGGTGACCTACCCCACGCGGCAGGGCAAGGGCCCCCACCTCCCCGGCTGCTCTCGGCAGGGGGCAAATCAAACATGGGGGATGCGGAGCAGAGAGCCCAGGGAGGGGGGGGAGCCTGGCCGGCCTTCCCGGCACACCGAGCACCGCTTAACCCTTTGCTTGTGCCGCCGTCCCAGCAGCTGCACCCACGGGCTCTGCTCCTGCCCGGATCGCCGGCGGTGGCAATCCCTCTCGGGGACGGGGGCACTCAGGGGTGGCCCCCAATGTGGGGTGGCCTGGGCACCAGCTGTGGGGCCAAAGGAGCTGGGTGCTCCCCTGCCCCACAGGTCCCCCCCATGTCCTTCAGAGCCAGCTGTGTCCCCGCAGAGTCCGGGGGGGGCTCATACTTGCCCCCAAGCAGGCTCCTGTCCCCTGGGGGCCACGGGTCACCTTGCTGTTCCCCTCCCTGCTGGCACCCCGGGGACCCGGCACAGCACCCTGGGCTGTGTCCTTGTCCCTCTGGCACAGGGACAGCGGGGATGGAGAGGAGGATGCTCTTGGGGTGAGCGAGGCTGTAACTGCCCCTGCCCTGGCTGACGTCCTTGCTTCAGAGGTGGCTGGCTCTTCTCTCAACCCTGTCTTTCAGCCCTTTTAATGACACCACTAATTAGCATGGGGAGGCGGGGGGGCAGACGGGACAGTCCTGGGGCTGGGCCAGGGACCTGATGTCTCCTGCCACCCCATCTCAGGGGCACGTGGAGGTGGCAGAGGAGGGTCCCTGAGCAGGGAAGAGGTCAATTCCGAAGGTGGGGGTGCCACCGACACCCTGCCCTG